GTCGCGCATGTGTGTGTGTGTGAGTGTGTGTGTGTGTGTGTGTGTGTGTGTGTGTGTGTGTGTGTGAGAGAGAGAGAGAGAGGCAATTAGTTGTGGTCTTTTGTTGCTTTGGTATTGTCTTTGAGAATTGTTGATTCGTGCACCTCCCTATGTGGGGCATCATATGAGTGAGGAGGATGTGTAGACAATGCAGCAGTACAGATGTCGGGCGGCTCCATCCTTATCGCCGCCCTTACTTCCCTAGTTTTCGCAACAAATATCCTATTAAAATAATCTAATTTGACAAAATCGACAATCTATTGATCGACATTTTTGGGATCATCGGAGGGATTCTTAAGTTGTTGCTATACGAAAAGGCTACTTCAGCCTCATATAAAGGTGACGCGGGGGAGCCTATAACTGAACCGTAATTAACGTGCGTTGGGGATCAGTACATGGGTATGCGGACGGACTTGGCGCACCAAGAACTGGGCCTAGGACCGGCCTTATGCACACAAGACAAGACGGAGGACTGGGGCTAACGCGCGGAGGACCATTCTGAAATGTGAAGGACCGGACTAGATTGTGGAAGACCAGCTCAATACACGGGGGAGCCGACCCCAAAAGTGGTCGCAGGATCGGGCCTAAATTCCTAGGACCCTAAGCACCATGTTCCAATCCATAGAATGAACCTGGATTATTGGACTCGATCTAAGCGGCGTGGACTGGGCCTATGGGTGTCATGCACGCGTCAGCAAGGGGCGATTCCAGACCTAGGACAGAAAAATAGGCTCAGAATGAGAGGCCCGGTACCGGGGCGCTCCAAAAGGCCCGGTACCTGACAAAAAGTCCCCCTTCGCAGGAAAACCTTTCGGGGGCCCAAATAGGCCCGAGCATAGGCTCGGAAAGAGCCATTGTACTGGGGCACTGCAACTTGTCGGCGGCCTCGGAGCATGTGGGAGCTGATGCACTCTGGGAAGAGGCCCAACAAACTATATAAGCCCAACCGGGCTCAGAGGCGGGACACTTCCCACTTGCGCACATAGAGGCGGACAGGAGGGGACTGGGAGCGAGCCACATTCAGGCGCACGAGCAGAGAGGCAGTCGGACAAGGGAAGCGCGAGAGAGGTAAGAGGGAAAGGAAGAGAGCGTGAGGGGGTGGTCAGCACGTGCTCACCATAGCCGCACGCACGGGCGCGCAACCTGCGCACTGCACGTGCACAGGTCAGGAAAGGGCGTGCACAGCTGCACGACATCAGGGTCGGACACGCACAGCGCGCACACGTGCTCCGTAAAGGAGGCCGCACGTACCAGCTCGCGCTCGCGCGTGTTGTCGGGGAGCCTGCGCACATCAGCACGCGGACACGCTCACTGTCAGGGAGTAGCCACGCGCAGCGGATCGGGACGCGGGAAAAGCCGCGCGCAGCGGATCGGGACAGGGGGAAAGCCGCGCGCAGCGGGTCGGGACGCGGGGAAAGCCGTGCGCACCAGCACATGCCCGCGCGCAGTGGATCGGGACGCGGGAAAAACCGCGCGCAGCGGATCGGGACACGGGGAAAGCCGCGCGCAGCGGGTCGGGACGTGGGGAAAGCCGTGCGCACCAGCGCGCGCCCCCTCACAGTGGATCGGGACACGGGGAAAGCCGCACGCACCAGCGCGGGCAGCGGGTTGGGACACGGGGAAAGCCGCGCGCACCAGCGCGCGCCTGCACGCAGCCGGATCGGGACGTTGGGGTGACTGCGCGCACAGCGCGCATCGGCGGGCGACCGGAGCGGGACGTTCGGGTGACCGCGCGCGTAGCGCGCACCTGCGTATAACCAGATCGGAGCGCGAAGCAGTCGCGCACGTTAGCGCGCGCCCGCACGCAGTTGTGCTTGGGCCGCGGACAGTCGCACGCGTCAGCGCGCGCTGCGCACAGTTCAGATCGGGACGCGGACAGTCGGGCACGTCAGCACGTTAGCGCGCGCCCGCACGCAGTTGTGCTCGGGGCACGACAGTCGCGCGCGTCAGCGTGTGCCGCGCACAGTTCAGATCGGGGCGCGGACAGTCGCGCACGTCAGCGCGCTCTCGCGCACAGTCAGGGCGGGGGCGGAACAGCCGCGCGTGTCAACGGCCGCCCGCATGCAAATCTGGTCCTTATTGTGTGATCGTGGACTAACCGTTTTCTTGCAGGTTACAGGAGCCCCGACCGTCCCTCAAGCAGGTGACAGACGCGGGTGACACACAGGGTTCGATCGGTGTGCTGGCAGATCCCTTCTACCGGTCGACACCGGAACCAGACCAATGAGTAATGAGCAATCGGTTCTTTGCTGAGCAATGAGATGATGACAATACATCGCATAGGAAGAATACCAACTTTGCATAACCAATGAGGCACCCGAAATAGAGTCTTGAGGCCGTGTCAACAACCAGTGATAAACATCCAATCAAATCTCTCTCTCTCTCTCTCTCTCTCTCTCTCTCTCTCTCTCTCTCTCTCTCTCTCTCTCTCTCTCTCTCTCTCTGTGTGTG